AATGTCAACACTACATGATATATATATATATATAGATAAAGTCAACACTAAATGATATTATATATATATATAACGCCCACATGGGTGAAGGAAACCACAAGTTTCTGAGCACCTCGGGTTGTCTTTCTTTGAGACGTGAAATATATTAAGCCTAAATTTCTACCACAAATTTTAATTTCGAACGTCCATAAATGACAATCATTAAAGTTCATAATAAGCGTTTGCTGCTTTCTGAGTGGAAAGTTTAAACAACTGGCCATCTGCAGTTTGCCCAACGCCGGAATTGAACCCCGTATTTTAGTGTTCCAAATCCTTAAACCTACCGCTGACCCACCCTAAAACACGTGATAAGTTCAAATATATTTAAGTTGACTGCTGTGTGGAGCTAGTTACACGAAAATTAAATTCTACGTTATTATTTCCAAAAAATGTGGTTCCAAACTTTCGCCTCCCCCCCCCAGTGGCACAGCGGCACGTCTGCGGACTCATAACGCTAGAATCCGGGTTTCGATACCCGCGGTGGGCAGAGCACAGATAGCCCATTGTGTTGCTTTGTGCTTAACTACAAACGAACAAACAAAATCTACGTTTTAGAAAGTTTGGATTTGATTGAAATCATGCACAAAGCTACACAATGGGCTATCTGTGCTCTGCCTACCACGGGTATCGAAACCCGGATTCTAGCGTTGTAAGTCCGCAGACTTACCGTTGCGCCACTGGGGGTGGGTGGGATTGAAATGAACGACACAGTTTCTATAATATACGCGTTAGTTTTTCCCGTTTTTAGAATTAGAATTATATAACAATTTGTCTTTATGTAGTCTCTGTTCCAAATATCGTAAACGATTTAAAAAAAACAATCTGAAGCGTGTAAAAATTCTTTGAAATTAGTCTCAAGTTATTTTTACGTCACCAAAAAATTGAAATCTCAAAGCACAAGGACCCCCCACCTAGCGAGAAGCATTTTCCTATGTTTAATACACCATTTTTTTTTCCCGCAAGTATACGTTTTCTCTATAATCTCACACTAGAAGTAGAGACGTCGGACACGAGCTACTGCACGTGATGTTACTATCCCAAAAAAAAAGAAGGAATTAGGTTGAGAATGAGAGCGAAAATCGATTCGATATAGTAACCTAAAGCTTATAATGACATTGGATTCAACGAAGCGAATCAATGTGAAAACTTTGGATAATCTTTTATATTTATAGCTTCCTGACGAAGGTACGTAGCTATCTCAGACACCCGTTTTCTTTTGGGTGGGGTCATCTAGAAATAAAGTTTCCTGTCATTACCTTTACGGGATAGGAATGATCTGATTTACATTACAACAAAACGGTCTATTTATTTCACATACGTGCAAGTAGCTATAAATACTGAGATGAGCGAGGTTTGGAATCCATAGACCGAACTGTTTTTTTTTCTGAACACCCAGCTTCTTCTGCGATGTTTGTTAAGGTAATGTCTCGTAGAATAGTACTAGAAGTGGGGATTTTTAATATCTAGTATAAAGGTGAAGATTGAGACTGTGTTTTAAACTCAAAGAACGCGTTTTTTGCGAAAGAACGCGTTTTTTTTTTTTTGCGTTACTATTAATTACTAACTTCGAAATTGTAAGCAAATAAATATTTGAAAGCATTAATTGGCTCACGCACCTGGTGGAGTCTTTTTGTTTTAAGAATATTTAACGTAATAAAAATCACACAAACTCCACACATTTTTTGTTTCTTATTGCTCTTAACTTTGTTTAACGCAAACTGGAGTTTATTGTGAGACATTTCTATAAGCAGAAATAAAATCACGATCTATAACTATAAAACTTTATTAGCTCAATATTGAGCTAACAAAGTTACATTCTGGAGATATAGGTCGTGATTTTATTTATTTTTGTTGTTTTTCCATTTTCCTTCTAACTTGTTTATTTCAAAACTATCTCTTGCATGTTTCGCAAGATACTCCTGAAGAGTCCTATCGTTTAATACCAAAAGTTGTCAGTGATGAAAATTGTAATATTTTTGGAAACGTTAATTATCCAATTATGATATTTTAAAAGCTGTGGTTTTAAAGACCGAAAGTAACAGACATAAAATTTGTGATAAATATCACGTAAAGTTATTCTCTTTGTCATCCCCCAGGTCATTGTTATTTGTGCAGCTCTAGGGCTAACATCCGCTGGTGGATATGGCGGCGGAGTAGGCCAAAGCACCAGCCATCGTCAGCAGGATGTAAGTTACGAACGACGAGTTTTTACACAGCTGTAACCTAAGTTTTTCAACAATATTAATAAAGTAGAATGTATTGTTTATTGTTATAGCCATTTTTTCTTTTCACTAGAAGTATTTTAAGGGGGAAATCTCCCGAAAACTATCGGTGTTAGTGATTTTACAGAGTATCGTTCGAAGCTATCTTTTAAATTTGTATTGTGGCAGAGCTTTGGATTTCAGAGCCAGGTTGTAACCCGTACGATATCCTAAAATATTACTCACGCTTTGAGATGTGTGTGTGCGTTATAAGAGTGACAGTCCATCCCTTAGCATGGGTGGTAGGGTGCTGCTGTTTTCCCTTTGGTTAGTACAAATTAGGGACGGCGGCAGGTAGCTTCAGTGGCATTGCCATAAAATACAAACACCAATATTTTACTAACTCACGAGAATGTTGTAAGCCAATCAGATAAGTTCCTTTATTTCCCCAACTCCAGGAATATTCAAAAACAACTTATTAAGATACTTTATACCACAAATTTCTGGAACGTTTAGAACCAATATGATTATTTAATTACTTAATTAAGGAAGCGCGTTATGCTAATATAATAATAATAATAGGTAGGCAAACAACGATTTATGAGTAAGAGTTGTATTCTGTCTTCTTCGGGATTATTTAGCTTGTTTGGTTTAGTTTGTTTGTTTGTAATCAAGGACAAAGCTACACAATGGGCTATCTGTGCTCTGCCCACCACGGGTATCGAAACCCGGTTTCTAGCGTTATAAGTCCGCAGACATGCCGCTGTGCCACTGGGGGGGGGGGCGTTTGGTTTAGAGCAAAATCCCTTTGGGCTATTTGCTGTGTCCACCTTGAGGAATCGAATTTTAGCATTCTCAGTTTGTAAACTTACCACTGTCCATCCAGGGAATGGTATCATTTAGAACGAATATGATAAGCTCCATTATTTCCCCAAAAATTGAGAATAAATATATTAATCTTATTTATTTCCCTGACTCGTGAGAACGTTATGAACCATTGTTTATGTATTTCCCTGACTCGTGAGAACGTTATGAACCATTGTTTATTTATTTCCCTCAATCGTGAAAACGTTATAAACCATTGTTTATGTATTTCCCTGACTCGTGAGAACGTTATGAACCATTGTTTATGTATTTCCCTGACTCGTGAGAACGTTATGAACCATTGTTCATGTATTTCCCTGACTTGTGAGAACGTTATGAACCATTGTTTATGTATTTCCCTGACTCGTGAGAACGTTATGAACCATTGTTTATTTATTTCCCTCAATCGTGAAAACGTTATAAACCATAGTTTATGTATTTCCCTGACTCGTGAGAACGTTATGAACCATTGTTTATTTATTTCCCTCAATCGTGAAAACGTTATGAACCAAATTACTGAACTCTTATATTTCCCAACGTGCTGGAACATCAAACCCAGTATGGTAAGTCCCTGTAATTCGCCAACTTGCAGGAATATTTAGGACTAGTCTGCTAAGTTATATTTTCTTCAGCTCATGAGTTATCTTTATTTTCCTAAACCCGTAGAAACATCCATTTTATTTTATCCCTCCTTCGAACCTGATGAACGGTTGTGGTGTTTTTCACACGTATCTATTTGACAGTGTTTCAGGTTTTTATCTGAAGATTGACCAAAACTTGGTAGCAAGTCTGTAAGTTCCTAAGGAACCAATCAAGTAAGACTTTGATAATGATGTCAGTGCAACTGATAAGAAGTGACAGCGTTTAACATTAAGATCAGAAAGAGCGCTGCTACTTTTCTATTGGTTATGCTGATCAGAAATCCTTCAAATTGGGTCAGAGGCTGGGAGGGGGTCGTTTTGAAATTTCTTCTATTTCTTCTAATGCCTGTTAATCGCTCTGTAACACACTCGACTTAAATCCATGTCATTTTATAATTTGTTTACATTATCATGTCAGAAGAATAGCAATGGTTAGATTTATTAAAACTGATTATATGCTCCCTTAGGGATACGGCAACTATAACTTTGGATATAATATTGCCGACCCTTACGGCGCTACCAATCACAGGACAGAATCGGGTGATGGTTACGGAAAAACGGTGGGGTCCTACGGTCTATCAGACATCGACGGTCGAGTCCGGGTGGTTGATTACGTTGCTGATGGCCATGGTTTCCGAGCTAATATTCGTACCAACGAACCCGGAACGTCGAATCAAGATGCGGCTGACGCTTATTATAACGGACCAGACGGATCAGGATACGGCGGATCCCTAGCTATCGTTCACGCACCGGCTAGTGGATATGGACACTAACGAATATATCACATACCACGTGATAGAATCTGCGTGACTCCTAACGTACATCCAGAAACTACGTAGATCGGTTTACAGTTGGAATACTGGATGTTAAATACTAGTTTACCAGCGTTTTTACACAAAAGTCTCCTATATATTATGATTTAATTCTGTTTATTTTTCATATGTATCAAGTTTACTATTTCTGACGTTGTAATATTTATTTCTTAATTACCAATAAGTATAACACCTCATCGCCATCTAGTGCGATAAATAATCTCTAATATTAAACATGAGGGTTGACAATATTACACAGTTAAAAATAATAAAAGAAACTGTCTTAGAAAGGTTTATAAATAAAACCTTTGCTTCTACAATACAGTTCTTCATAGCTGGTTCCTAAGTGAATTTTACACGATTGTCTTAAGACTATTTTTCTTAATGTTGTGTATATCCTAAAGGAGCGATTATTCAATTTTAGTTTGTAAATAAATTTTTGAGTCCAGAAATTTGGGTATGATGATTGAAATTTTCTTTTAACAAAAAAAAAATAATGATGATAAAATAAAAATAACTTTTTTTTGTTAGAATAATTGTTTGATATCACCCCTGCGGGAAAAAAAGAACTAACTACTGTTGCTAAATAGTATTGCTATAACCTACTGTGTTAAAGTTATATAATTAAATAAAATAAAATGTACGGACGTTTCTAAGCCTTGTTCAAACGTTCATTTGGTGGGAGCTTTCAACTCCTAGGCTGCAGTATTTATGAAGTACAATTTCGTAAGTTTAAAAATTTTTTCTAAATATTAATAATGTAGTCATCTTCAATGAAATAAAAGTAATATGAAACTATGGTTGTTGTTAATCACAAAGTTCACGAACTATCAGTGCTCTGTCCACCATGGCTGTCGAAAGCCGATATTTAGCTTCCTAAGCCTACTGAATGTATTCAAATACATTCTGCAGTAAAACGTAATCGACAAAAAGAGAGATCAGTCACCCGAACGATAAAACAAGGCTGGTTTTTAGTAGCTGTTTGATTAGACAGAGTAAATAACGTAACTGGATCTCGAACGTGGCTTGTTCTACTTTATATATCATCTACGTAATGATGCAACACGTTACTGTTAGGCCTGTCTGTAGGTCGTTTTGTTGGAGTGTTTCATTATGTAGTTTGGTGAAAAGAAAAAAAAGAGGTCAGACTAGAGATAAAATATTAAGTTCAGTTTCATACAGGTAGAACCATGAAGTCACAAGAAATTTAGAGTTTTTTTTACCGTTTTATGGATAATAAACTAAGTTTGTAGTTGTTTATAAAATAATTGCACGTGTACCGTTTAATAAGGTGTTGGAATGTAAGAAACGAGCAACAGTGAAAACAAAATAACGATAAAGAAAGACAGTAAACTTTACACATTGTTTATCAGCTTTGAGTTCTTCTTAAGCACAAAGTGACATAGCCGACTTTCTTTTCTTTGCCCACCGCGAGTATCGGAACCCGAATTTTAACGTTAAATGTCCTCAGACCTTTCGCTGAGCCACAGAGGAGGCACAGTATTAAAACAAACTGTCAAATTTAACATCTAGTTAATATATCACTTGTTTGTTTTAAGCGTAACGTTACATAATAGGTTATCGGCGCTGTGGCCATCACGGATATTGAACCTCGAATTTTAACCAGCAGGGAGGGATTCGTTACTTTATGAAATTAAAAGTACTGTTTTCTGATACCTGGATGTAACAAATAAGTTATGACACTAACATGATATTTTTTATTTGTAACTTTGAATAATCATATCATTTTTGTATAAATCACTATGTGGGTTATAGAGTATATATCAGCAGGGAATTTGAATTTCTAAAGTTTTATAGTATCGAAACAAAAAAAAAAACAGCAATGAAAATTGAAATAAGTACATTTTGTAAACAACCATTTATAGATATAAATAAATCGTTTACAGGTGTTGGCCTAACACAGCCAAAGCATAGTTGAAATTTTATTATGTATTCTTCTTGTTGGAAATGGGTTGGTTAAGACTGATGCATTTAAATATATTTCCAGTGTTTTCTGCTGTCTTTTAAATCCTGCTAGCTTGAAAGGTTAATTTTTATATCCGAATCATTGTGGTACATTAACGGAGGCTGTTTTTAAATTCTTTAAAAATCTACAAAACTAGAGAAACAAAAGTAACGAGAGGATTGTTTCTTGGGGAACACGAAGAGTATAAGCAGCAAAGGGAAGTTATGGCAAAGTATTATTAAAATAAAGGCTCATATTTGGAGCCTAACTGATATTTCAAAGATTGAATTATTGCAATGGCAAATATAATAAAAATATTGCTTGGTCACTTGGTCAATACAAGGTGGTCACTAAAGGGTGAAGCCCTAAGCAGCTGCTCGTTTTTCGTTAAAAGTCCAGCACTGATCTTTCAGTGTTAACGTGTACGTAAAGTAAGATTGTAACCAAATTTACTGATATTCTGATGCAATACAAGAACTGGAAGAAAGTTAGGTTGAGCTTGTCTTCTGTGACACTAATACAGGGAATGACGTAACTCAATTTGAAATAAAACGTTAAAAGTAAAGAGATTAAAACTAAGCCTACTTCTAAACAGAGGTGATTGCATCACCACGAAACAACGAAAAAACACAACACGTTTATATTAATTACTGTTGACTAGGGCGGGGACAAGCGGTGGTCCCTTGAAGTATCATATGTTACAGAAAGAAAGGATTTGCGCATATATATATAAAGGCTTCCAAGATTTTACTTACCGTTACACTCAGACGTCTGGGGAAATCAACCTTGCACACTCTTCCTCTTCAATATCCACTGCAGCAGCCATGTTTAGGGTAAGTTGTCAAAATTTAAGAAGGAAAGAAATGATAGTTTGAGAATAAGTTGAAATAATACATAATAAACTGATGTATATATATATATATTAACTTGAAAAACCTGCGTAAAATTGGAATAAACATAGTCAAAGCTGAAAATAAACCAGAAACAAATATTTATGTAAAAAACCTACGTCACGACAAAAATATTTACATAATTTTAAAGTTATTATTAGCTTGTTTGCTATATTGTTTTGTATAATTAAAATTTATAATTGTTTTCATTATTTATAGGTGGCGATAATTTAAGTTCCCACCGCTGATTCTTTGAAACAAATGAGAAATTTTTATTTTTCTTGCGAAAGTTATTAAACAAAAATATATATGCACTTATATTATTTCATAAAACAGCAATTAATTTTTTCAGCCCCATTTTTAAGTATTATTATCTTCCATATAAGAAATATATTTCAATAGATTTTTATTAACAATTGTCTTTATTATTTATAGGTGACGCTAATTTTTACTGTGATCGCTAGTTCTTTGGCTGGCAACCTTATTTTACCTGTTCCTGTTTCAACTTATGGGAAAAATCTGGTATGTTATGTTTCGTATAATTAGGAGAGTTCCACTATCTGTAAGGGATTACGATGCATAAGATGCTTATTCTCATAAAAGAATATATATCTTGTATAGGTGATCTACAATTCAGTCCAACAATTTTTACTACCTCTTTCTTTTAATTAGGACCTATAAAATAAAACTAATTTTTTATTAAGAAATTTATATGTTATTAAGTTTGTTGACATGCTATTAAAACGATAAAAACCACTGCAGTTTCTACAAAAGTTTGTTTTTGATAATTTCCAAATTTTAGCTAAGCTGCAACCATCGTTACTTCAGTCCATCTGTGTATCTATTTTCTCATTAGTGAAACAAAATTTACTGTTTAAGAAGAACAATACGCTATGTATTCTGGGTAAAATATTCAAGTTTAAAAAAAATTAAATGATTATTGCAGGATATCAACATCCCAACTCCTTACGACACTGGTTACCAGACTGTTGGCGAAGATGGAACGACCCAGACCCGCCAGGAAACTGGAGACGGGGCAGGCAGAGTTCAAGGGTCATATGGCTACACTGACCCTTTAGGCATCAGTCGTCAGGTGAACTATTTGGCTGATGAAGGAGGCTTCCGTGCCTGGATTCAGACGAACGAACCTGGAACCGACAACCAGAACCCAGCTGATGTGGAGATCGTTGCCCAAGAAGCTCCTGCAGGAGTACAGCCGACCCTTACCAAGACTTTGATCCCTGCTGCTCGCAGGTTGATTGCTCGTCCTGTTCTCAATAAGAGAGTAGCTCCAACCCTGTTAGGTCGCCCAAGACTGGGAGTGGTCAGTCCTAGAATTGTTAAGACGGCCCCTAGCATTCTTCAGTCTGCACCTCTTGGCCTGAGAGCTCCTGGTGTTGTACAAGCTGCACCTCTTGGCCTGAGAGCTCCTGGTGTTGTCCAAGCTTCATCTCTTGGCCTAAGAGCTCCTGGTATTGTCCAAGGTTCCTCTCTTGGCCTAAGAGCTCCTGGTGTTGTCCAAGCTTCATCTCTTGGCCTGAGAGCTCCTGGTGTTGTCCAAGCTTCATCTCTTGGCCTGAAAGCTCCTGGTATTGTCCAAGGTTCTTCTCTTGGCCTAAGAGCTCCTGGTGTTGTCCAGGCTTCATCTCTTGGTCTGGGAGCTCCTGGTGTTGTCCGAGCTTCAACTCTTGGCCTGAAAGCTCCTGGTATTGTCCAAGGTTCCTCTCTTGGCCTAAGAGCTCCTGGTGTTGTCCAAGGTTCCTCTCTTGGCCTGAGAGCTCCTGGAATTCTTCAGCTTTCTTCTCTTGGTTTGGGAGCTCCTGCCATTGTCCAAGGTTCCTCTCTTGGCCTGAGAGCTCCCGGTATTGTCCAAGGTTCCCCTCTTGGCCTTAGAGCTCCCGGTATTGTCCAAGGTTCCCCTCTTGGCCTGAGAGCTCCTGGCATTCTTCAGTCTTCCTCCCTTGGCCTGGCAGCGTCCAAAATCAACAAGCTAGACCTTCCCTCCACTACTTTGTGGAAAAACGAGTAAGCTGTGGTTATTGTTTGCTATACATTATTTTAAAATCTTACTTTTGTTACATGACTGATAATTCTAAGCTTTCCTTCCTTGTCTTATTTTTTTAGTATTACTGGTTTAGCTCAAAACGCAGAATTACTCCTGTTATTCCTTTCTCTAAACACTGTGTATAAAAAATGTACCACGAAAATAAAAAAATATATTTATTACGTTGTCATTTTTTGTTTTGAATTTAAGTGTAGTAAAAAACGGAGAATTTTGAACTTAAGCACATTAGATCGATGGCTCAAACTCATTGGTTGTATAGAAGTGGAAATAATAACCTCGTGGACCTAAAATAATCAGGACGCTTTCTTACGTTAAAAGTCTCAGAAATAATATATTTTAAATATTAACTCTAGTGTTCACCCTTTTTTTTTTCGTGTACAGTATTGTATGTTGATCTGGAATTTCATTATTTTCAAAACCAAGATTAGGAAGCACTTATATTGTACTGAACTGTAACAGCATGGGGGGGGGATCCAAATCATTGTATTACCAAGAGCTGGGATATGAATATTCAAGAAAAATATTGATGAACAGTCAAAAGATGAACTTTCACAGCGTATGTTTAAACACGCAGAATTAGGAGGTATCTCTTCTGAAAAAGACTGACTACTAGGAGTCTTCACAATGGTTGACTTTAAGTGTAGACTTTTACACATTATATTATTACTTTCTTTTTTTTCCCCATTAAATTACTAGTTTGGACTATCTGCGCTTTACTCAAGAAGGAATCGAACTCCAAATCTTACCATTATAATACCTCAAGCTTACTGCTGATCCACTGGGAATCAGATTATCTGTTAATAATAATGATTAAAAAATAGATCAATAAATGACGAACTATTACTTAAATTCAGATGTCTAAGTGCATACTAAGGACTAGAAATCATTCTTGAACTAAATATATCCATAAACTCCAGATACATTAAACTGTTATCGTCCATGACGTTTCGACTTACACCTTGTATAAGTCTGAGCCTTCATAAAAGGCGTAAATTGAAACGTCAGGTATGTTAAAAGTTTTATTTATTTGAAGATTGTGGTCGTATTTATTTTAATAAAGAATGAACTGTTTATTTTTAAATATCTGTTGCTTAATAACATGTTAGCATATGTATATCATCCGTCATTATTTATCACATCCCAAGAAGTCCTACCTATCCATTAATGCAGCGGTCCATTATTGATATCATCTTATGGCCAAAGGGAGGGCGTAACCATCTGATGATCCGTCAGCCTGAGAATTGCATGGAAATGACGATTTAAAAAATATACTTTCCTTTATGTTTACAACATTATTTGCTTATCATTAGAGGCAGATAACAACTTGAGTACAAAATTAGAAAGGCAACCCCCGACCCACAATGTTTTGACTTTAGCAGTGATCAAATTAAAATATACACCAGAAATTTCTCACCCTCAAAACTGTTGATATAGGAATAAAGATCCTCTTTTATCTTAATTTATTGCCGACCTTTGACCGTTTTTGTTTCTTCAAAATTCCAGTGTGCCACCAATATAATAAAAGGGGTTAACTTTATGTATGATTTTGACCTTTGAAAACTATCATCAAATGTTGAGAGTTTGGTTCTTTGGGGAAAGTACTGTCTTTGTAGACATTTTCATCATAATAAGATTAAAATGGTCTCTTCATCGGACAAGGGTTAAGATACCCAATATGAACCTAAGTAATATGAACAATAAAAATTCTCTAATTGCATTGGAAAGACCACTAGCAAGAAGGAAATTAA